GAAGCCGGCGCTGGCACTCAAGTCACGGGAGCTGGACGGCCGCCGAGGCTCCACGCTCTGCCGGTATGGTGGCATAGACTTGGGTGTCCCCCGCTTCTGCAGGCACCCCCCCAAGGGCTCTCTCTCCTCTCAGGAGGGACGGGGCTGACTGGGAGGTGGCCCAAGGGGCTCCGAGTCGCTGCCCCCACGGACGTGGTTCAGTGGCCACTGCCCCCCTGGCTCCAGCCGGCCGCAGCAGCTGCTTTGGGCTCTGGTCACGCAGGGACTCTTCCAGTCCCAGAAAAACAAACCACTCACACAAAGGCCTCTGTGTAGGTAGCAGACTTTACTGAAGATTTGGGGGGACAAGGAGGTTACATAGCAAAAATACAAAAACTTAAAGCTGAATATTAGACATCCACAAGCTTAAAAATAAAAAGACATTACCATTCCGGCCGACTGGGCTCCAGACTCGTACCGCAGCACTGGAGCACCTCCCCCGTCCTCTCCCAGGAAGTAAACAGAGCCCAATCGCAGACGGCCTCTTCCTCAGGGTGGCCTGGCCCACCATTGGTTCCGTGCTCCCTGTCGAGACCCTTCCCTGGGGCCTCTTCCCCCTCATGTGCCACAGACTTATTTCCTCAGGTAAGAACACTCCCCCATTTCTGAGACCCAAGGATAAAAGTCTATGCACAGTCTCTGTGCTGGACAGTTCCCATGACCCTGAGAGCCAGGCCACCTCGTGGGCCCGGGCTGACACAGAGCAGAGCTTGGGCGTTTTCTGTGAACGTGTGTGCGCATGTGTGTGCATGTGGGTGTGTGCATGTGTGTGTGTGTGTGTTCGGGGTGTAAAGAGCAGAATCAGGGCAGGTCCTAACACACCTAAGTCACCACCACTTCCTGGGTGCCCACCGTGAGCTCGGGCTGTCACCTCTGTCCAACAACAACCCGGAATCAAAGCCATGTGAGTCCCATCTCACAAGGGGCTATGAGGGTCTGGGAGCGGGGGCTAACTGCTCGAGGTTGCGGAATGTGGCTGCAGCCACTCCGGCTTCTTGAGAACGACACCCCTCTCGATTTAAGTCTTTGGGGCAGAGCTTCTTGTTTTCACTTCTGGAGCTGACACACCAGGTAACAGAAGAGGGGCTGGGACATGGCAACTGCGGGCTACCCCCACCCCCGAGCTAAAACCCGTTGCCGCTCTCACACCCCTCTCTGTGCGGGTCCGGCCCGGGGAGTGCTGCACACCCCACAGAGCCCCGCACCAGGCCCGGCACTGCAGGCCAACAGGAGCTGCCTGCCTCCTACCTCCAGCCCCGTCAGCGTGCCCTGCCCACTGTCCCCCAAAGCCCACAGCTGGGGAGAGGATGCAGGTGTCACAGTCTGAGTGTCCCAAGCCATGGCTGCCCCCCGATCCTTCCTCCACTAGCTTTAGTCCTAAAGGGCAGAGTGGGTGTCTACACACGCACCCATGCACGCACACGCACCCTAAGCCCTTCTGTGGGGGCACTCACCCCACTCCATGGAAGTCCACTGGTGGCCACTGAGTCAGTGTGCTCAGTCACCGTCAGACCAGAGGTCTGTTTCCATGTCCCCAGCCCAGCCAGGCACCCGGCTAGCTCTAGACGGGTCAGGAGGGCCAAGGGCTCCACCCTCGAGGGCTCAGGGCCCTTTACCTGCCGGGGCGCAAACAGCAGGAATCGCACTGCCTGGTACACGAGCCCTCCTTTGGCGGATGTTTACTGAGCACCTGCTGTGTCCCAGACCTGGTGTTTGGTTTACAGAAAGTAACAGACGGAGGAAGCTACAGTCTCCACCCACAGACGGAGTCTGGGAGGAAAGACAGACTCAGGAGCAGACAATTACACATGCTTCTCTGTGGGCCCCACCAGCCCCAGCATCGGTTTCTTAAAAAAAATCGAAGATTAAAGATCAAAAAGACTTACTCCCTTGCTTTAAACACTTCCAGGACCTCCCTTCGCATGGAATAAAATCCGAAGTCCTTGCCAAGCTAGGGGGTGGTGGGCTGGGGGAGGGAGCTGGCTTGCGTCCCCTTCCCCCTCGCCCCGGGGTCTGGACGGCTGGCTGGGGCCTGATCTAGCCGGTCGCCCTGTAGCTTAGCCCATACAGCTCTCTCTCTGCACCTGCCTCATACCACGCCTCCCTGCCTCTCCTCACAATGCCTTCCCCCCACCTTCCCCAGGCTGCAAGGCTTCCGCAGGGACTCTCACGTCAGCACACTTCTCTGCCTTGAAAGCATGTGTCAGTCTATACATCCCATTACTTGCTCACTTGGTTTTCTTCCTCAGTGGACCCTGTCTGCCTGGGTCAGTGATCCCAGCGTCCGGCATGGAGCAGAAGCAAACAGCTGCTAACTGAGTGAACACATGAACACTCCAGGGAAGTGAGGTCACGGCTCTGAGCCCCGCTTCCTGCATCTGTCACATGAGGATGGCACAGCGCCCCTGACTGAGGATGAGAAGGGATGACAGCAGTCCCTGTGTTCTGGGTCAGAAACAGAAGGCTTCTGCCACACAAGGGCAGGTGTGACTCACCCTTCCGCATGAAAGGGGGTGACCACGTGCCGGCCCCTGAAGTATGAGTAGGAGTTCTCCAGGAGGAGGAGAGGCCAGGGCACAACTGGCCAGGGGAAGCTGCGGGGTCAAGGCCTAAAGGCAGGGAAGGACGCCTGATTCAGAGGGTGCAGGGGAGTGCCAGACAAGCCTGGGAGAGTGGTGGGCCAGGTCAGGGCTCCCACTGGCCCCCAGGGCCACAGGCCACACTGTACCAGGAGAGAGGTATCTACACCTGCATTCCCCATGGCTGACAGGTCTGGAACCTACAGCTCTAAGGACGTGACTTTCCACGAGGCAACTGAGGTCAGCTCCTGAAGAGAAGGGAGCACACCCAGCTCACACCTGGCCTGGGCATCTGCCCTGCCTCGCTGTCACCGTGATCCAAAGGCTCATCTCCCGAACCCCTGCATGTGTGCCGCAGCTGAGAGGCTACTCACGCATCCTTGTGAGAAGCTGCCTGAAGGTCCAGTCAAGCCAGAAGGGGAGGCATCATGAGTTCTCCTTATCCAAAGAGCCCGAGGGGAAAGGCGCAGAGAGAGGGTGAGGGTTGTGACACTGAAGTGACCCGGAAGGGGCGGGAGAGCCTCACACAAACCCGCCGTGGACATGTGAGCACATGCCGTCTGCTCGGGGCCTCCTGGACCCCATGACCCCCCCGACCGCAGCACGTCTTTTGATGAGAGCCGACCCCCACATACAGTGGAGTCGCGCAACTTGGCACGAGGTCTAGCAGCAGTCCAGAGGCGTTTGGTTAAAGTTGTTTTCTGGGGAGAAGAGGCAGCCCCTGCCTATGAGGGCAGGACACCGGACAGCTGGCTTCCTTTCCCCATCTGGAATGCTGGCCAGCCTTCGTAACATCTGCTTATCTAAGCACTGCCCATCCTCTAAGCCCCTCTCCACCGCAACCTCTTCCCTGGGTCTCCCACTCCCTGCTCTCTCGCAGCTCTGAAGTCCAGCTTCTGTGAGGCACAGCCAGCCCTACTTAGGAGCTCTCCAGTCCGACTCTTCAGACCGCGAGCTCCGGCTATTAATAATAATGTATATTTCTCGAACACATTTATGTGCTCGGCACATTCTAGGCACTCTACGTATCCGAGGTAGGTACTCTTATAATACCCATTTTACAGATGGGGAAACTGAGGCACGGTGAAATTAAGTAACTTGCCCCAAAGCCACGGAGCTACTCAGTGGCTGAGTGCCAGGATTTCGATCCTAGCTGTCTGACTCAAGCCCTCGATCCTAACCACCATTCCGTGACTCCTCCTAGATGCTGTCTTACTCACTTCCGTACTCCCGTAATAGCTCCCGGAGTGCTGGGCACAAAGTAAACACCTGCCAGTGGAACCTCCGCTCCCTTCTGCTCCAGGTTTCTGGAATTGTGGTTCCCATTAAGGGTGATAAGCGGGCCACTAGATGGCAGCAAAGAGCCAGACCCAGGCCTCCCTGAGGGAGGGGAGGATAAAATAGTTACATTCATTTAGTGCATCTTGCACCAGGCACTTGCAGACGTCAGCTCTCCTTCTCACTAAGGCCTTCTAAGGTTGGTGCTATTGCCCTATTGCCCTTCCCTTTACGGAGAGCAAAGGACCCCAAGGCTCAGACAGGTGGAGAAATTGGCCCAAGGTCAGACAGCCAGGAATACCAGGACTGAAGCCAGGACCACCAAAACCCTAAGCCTGTACAGTTCTCCAAAGAGAGAAACCAGGGAAAGCTTCACTGGTTCCCTTGAGGCCCAGGGTGGGCTCCACAGCCCTCCTCCACCCACAGGGCACACAGAAACTACCACTGTCTGGGGATGGAGTGCAAAGCCTGGGCTCCCTCGGAGGCAGTCACCACCCAGCAGACACCCCAGCTGGCAGGGAGCCCGAGGTAGGACTCACAGAACACGAAAACTGGGTGGTCTTAGAGACCACTGGTCCACTACAGACCTTTGACCCACCTTCTCGGCCTTCACCCCCACAAACGATGCTACGTGACACCAGCCTCACCACCTAAACTCCACAGGCCGGCCTCAGCACCGCCACTCCTGCCCTCCCTGTCTCAAGCTCCGGGCTACGGAACCCACTCTCACCAGGGATGCAAGAAAACTTCTAGAGAGTTCTGGCTGCATTCCCTCCCAGCCTTTCCAATAACCGTCACCTCCACACCTAAAACCTGAGCCCTGGGCTGGACCGAGCCTCCCTGTTAGCTGTCCTGCAGACAGGGCACCAGTGGTGGCCGCGACACCGTGCACCAGTCCCTGCAGGGGCACACGCAGGGATGCCCAGCACAGAGCCCTGAGCCCAAGCCCCGACCCGCAGCGTGGCCGGCAGCACAGTGCAGGGCTCGAATGGCAGCAGGGGAACCATCCCATTGGGAACTCTGCATCTGGCGACATTCCTGGCCGAGTCCATGGGGCACCTGTGGGGCTGCTTCTGGCCTGCTTCCCAGTCTGCCCCCCTTCTCCCATGGTCCCTCCCAAGGCTCAGACAGCCAGATCAGGTCCTGGGAAAATACACACCATCTTGGGTTTATTTGGGGTTGGGCATTGCAGGTTCAGGCACAGTTTGTTCCTGGATAGGAAGAGTCGGGACCTCTCCGCTCTCCTGGCACTTCGGGCCTCTGCAGATCCCCTCCCCACGTCCCTGCACACGTCTCTTCCCCCCTCCCTGCTCCCTGAGTCTCTTATTCCTTCACCAGCCGGTAGATGTGGTGCTGAGCCCCGTGCTCGCTGGCTGACACCTCGAAGACATACGCGACGCACAGCAGTGTCTCCTGCGTGTCTCTGTTGGTGACCACCTGCAGGGGACGAGAAAGATGAGAGTTAAAGCCCCAAACAGGGGAACAACATTGTCTCGACCCACTGATCCCTTCCTGCCGCACACCTGCAGCACACCTGCCCCCCCCCACGCACCTGCAGGATGGTGAAGTTCTCTAGCACGCTGTTCATCATGTACTTCTCGGGCAGGTGCTTCAGCTTGTGAATGAAGTTGATCATGTACTCGCAGAGCGGGGACCGATGAATGCGGTAGGAGTAGTGGCCGTTCTCATAGCGGGCGTACTCTGTCTGCAGGACCCAGGGGGCAGCGGGAGCTTAGAATCTCTCTTGACCACTTCCTGCCCCGGCCCAGCTCTCTGGGGAAGCTCCGTGACCCACTCACTGTCCACCTCCTCTGTCAGTGACGGGCAGACCAGGTCGAGGAGGAGGGAGCTCAAGGATATAAGCACAGTGGCACTAGGCAAGATGGGACAGAGCAGTGACTTAGTCCTGCCAGCACATGAACACACACTAATGGGCACGACAAGGGCGCGGGAGCAGGGTACGTCTGAGCCACACTGCGGGGCTGCCCGGATGTTGATCTCCCGGTGCCAATACAACACTCTAGCTACACAGGACGCTGCCGGGTGAAGGTACACGGGGTGACAACGGCACAGCATGTGGAGCTGTAATTCTCTCAAAATAAACATTTAATTAAAAATAACTCAAAGGGCAGGCACCTGGGTGGCTCACTGGGTTGGGAGACTGTCTTCAGCTCAGGTCATGATCCCGGAGTCCCGGGATCAAGCCCCTCATCGGGCTCTCTGCTTGGCGGGAAGCCTGCTTCCCCCTCTCTCTCTGCCTGCCTCTCTGCCTGCTTGTGATCTGTCAAATGAATGGATAAAATCTCTTTAAAAAAACTCGAAAAGCATTTTATAAACCACTATTGGTGCAGAGAGGGTTTTAGGCGCTGGTGTGTTTCCACGGTCCCCAGGTGACCACAGGGGTGGCGGAGGCTGAGAAGCCCGGGGCTGGGCGTGCTCTCTGCCCTGGTGCCAGCCTGGCATCAGGTTGGGCTGGACATGAGCTGGGTTACCGATAACTGGCGGGCGTGTGAGGGGAATAGCTCACGGACTCAGACAGACGTGGGCAAAGCGGTGGGGACAGGATGAAGAGCAGCCTGAGGCAGGGGTGGGCCTGCCTTAACAAACACGCGGGGCGGGGGTGGGGGGCTCCTACCTCCACTTTCTCTACCACCTGCTTGCCAAAAGAGCAAACCTTGGTGGAACAAGTGATTATCATGTTCTCCAGACTCTCGTACTGGCTGGAGACCCCGTAGAAGGAGCTGCCTTCATCCTCAATGTTGGTGTTGAGGTCTGCCTGGAGGAAGACACAGGGAAGACTCACAGTGGACTGGTGAGCCAACAGAGGCCCTGTTGAGAGTGGACCTAGGGAGAACTCTGGGGCTACTGTCCAGGTTCTAGGGCCAGCAAGACATCAGGAAGGCCTGAAAAGAACTGGGAGAGTATAATCATGGAAAGCTTCCACCCTTCTCCACAGCCAGGCCTGGTATAAAGTCAGGGTGTGTTACCTAAACAACGGAAAAAGAGAACACTGTCATCTGCGTTAGTCATAGGCCTCCGCTACCCATTTAGGCACCAAAACATCCAGCAGTGGGGCCCCCAACTTTGTCTTTAGGACTTCAGGTTTTATGGTTTTATAGTCTAAGGCTTTGCTCTTGTTAAACTGCAAACATCTGAATCTATATCAGTCATTTCTATTTTAGTATGAATTTGTCAGATCCTTTCCAGAGTCAATTTTGATAGTGCAGTAAGCGTGGGAACAGAAAGCCAGAATGGGAGACTGGCAGAGGGGAGAGTAGGAGGGGGTGCTGGGACTCCTCTCTGTCTCATCCTCCAGTCCAGCTGGTCACTGGACCCTGCCAGTGCTCTTTTGGAAACGGCTCTGGGGGCCGGCCTCTCACCCATCTCTATGGCAGTACTGAGTCCAGCAACCCCTGACTTTTCACATCTCTGCTGCAGCCTCCAGACGAACCCCCCTCCACTGCTGGTCTTCATTCCTTCGGTTCATTCTCTACGTTCTCTGAGAATTCTCTTCAAAAGATGAGTCTAACTGCACCCCTCCATGGTTAAAACCCTTTCACTGACCCTTTGCCATCAGAGAACCTGATGCTTGCTCCCCAGTCTGGCCTGGGAGCCCCTGGTCCCCTAGATCAGCTTCCTGCTGTTCCCCAACACACACCTTTTCTTCCTATGCTGACAGCAGAGCCTAAAGTGCCTCCTGCTGGGGGTCAGGTTGGTTTGAAATTTTTCTCTTAGCCAGCGTGGGGTAAGACTCCCAGTTGCACACACATCCCCTGCAAGCAGGATAGAGCAGGATCCTGGCTTCAGCATGACCAGTGAGGCTCCCTGACCACAGGCCTGGCCCAGCCCCACAGAGCTGACAAGTGACGAGACGCAGGTCTTTAAGCTCCCACTCCCATGCTTACTGCGTCCGGCAGAGTTACAGGGAGGGAGCGAGAGCTCAGACGAGACAAGTCCACGCCTTGGCAGCTCTCAGGCAGACACTGTGCTTCTGAAGCCCTACGCCAGTTCGGGGTCCCCATCCCCCAAGCTTGGGCCCCCCAGTGAATCATCCCATCTGAGCCAGGGCTTGCTAGCAGAGCAATTCAGAACTCAGAACAAACGCACAGATCTAAAAAGGCTTTGTCTGAGGGTGCAGTCTCTCCTCCCACCCACACAAGCAGCCTGAGCACCACCAGGCTGGACCCAGAGCACGGCAGCCCCACGACACAGAAGCTCTGGACGAGGCTGAAGAATCTGACACCAAGGCCTCCTCTGAACAAAACTCAGGGGCTCCCCAGAACTGCGGAAGGTTCTGGCACCATTCAGAGCCAGGCACCAGGCAGTTCTGTTACCAGCCATTAGGGGATGCTCAGTCATTACGTTTCTCTCCTTTGGGGAAAGAAGTTTTCCGAGAGCAAGAACATTCTTTGGACTGCTGGGGACTGTTCAATGTCTTACAGCACAATGAAAATATTAGGTAGCCACAAGGGCCTGAGTTTTCTGTTGAGTTTACTGAGGAGGGCCTGTGTTTACTGTTGCGAAATGAAGACGATTGCCAAGTGAAAAAAATAAAAGGCAGGTTATGGAACACAATGAGGATATGTTAACTTTCATGATGAGAAAAAGAAAATAGGCTATTTTCATGCTGAATAGAATGGCGCAGGTTTAGTGCACTCTGCAATGGTTTTAATGAGGCCACTAGGAAGACAGGAGAACAAGGAATTCCAGCTACATTCAAGGCTCAGCTTCTGAAATAAATAGCAGCGTCTCGGCCTGGGGTGGTGATGGAGCTGGGCAAGCAAGGGGTGCCCCTGAGTCCTGGCCGGGGGCGGCAGGGGGGGGGGCAGTCCTCGCTGGGTTGGGAATTGAGGGCAGCTGGGACCAGCAAAGGCCTTCCAGTGAAGTACGTGGTGAACTGGGACCAAAACCCAGCTCTCCATCTCCTATTTTCCCCGCTAAGTCACATGCTCCTCCTCCTAGGAAACCAAGTTTGTCAGACTTCTTTAAAAAGGAACAGTTTGCTCAAAGTATGCTGCAGCCAGAAGCACGGGGCAGGAGCGTGAACAAGAGCTGGCAGGAAGGCCGGCTGCCTGGGAAGGGCAGGCACCCGAACACGGGAGGGCGGGTGCAAGCCAAGGGGCAAAGGCCAGGGCACAGAATGATGGCACTTGTACCACAGCCACTGCCAGGGTCCTCTTGATGAACAACATGCTTGTGTAGCACCTACCAGGGCCCTGCTCTGCCCCCACTGCTTTCTCTTAAAGTCACTCATTCCTTACATCCATGCTAAGGCCAGGAAATCAGTCAGGAACTCTATTTTTTCCTGTGATAATTACTGCATAACTATTAAAGGAGAAATATTTGTTTGTATGCCACCGAAAAGAATGCTGTGCACCAGGGCTGGGCAGGACCGGCCCAATCCCTCCCAGGTTCTTCCCAGCGCACAAAGGTCACAGCTGCCCAGTGCCCCCGCACTGCCCCGGACATGCCATGCCCTTCACCACCTTGTGCTGCCAGAATCTATTCAGATGGCCTCGGCCCCTTCCAGATGGTAAGCACCCTGCCAGCAAGGACTCAGCTCTCCCGGGGGTGGGGGGGAGGGGGACGCTCGGGCCAGGCCTGGGGTGAGGCCCTCCTCCCAACCCCGTTCCCACCCCCCCGCCCCCGCCATGGTTGCCACCTATGGCTGTTCAGCCTCTCACCGCTGGGTGGCGCCAAGTGAGATGAGCCATGAGCCCCGCATCCCTGCCCCACCATAACCTTCGCCCCAGCACACGCAGGTCTTGGTCCTAGCCTCCCACTCACCTGGCCCTTCCATCCCTCAGTCACCTACGTCTCCCGCCCCAGCCCAGCCAAGGGGAGTGGGGTCCAGAGAGGCTGAACGTTGTCTCTGCTGTCAAGGAATTCATAACTGGTGGGGCAGCAAGGAGCACGAATGCGATGCTGTGAGTGGTACAGAGAGAGGAAGAGAGAGAAGGAGGTAGTGGGAAAGAGAGAAACCTCCTGCCATGCATCCTGGGGCCAGCCCTGTGGCTGCGCAGCCCAGAGCCAGCAGATGTGGGCGGTGACACAGACCAGCCCTGCCCCCCACCTCCTCTCGTCCTCACTGCCTTATCCTCCGGAGGACTGCCCCACAACTCTCCAGCAGCCACACATCGCACACTTCCTGTCCACCCCTGCACCCCCTCACTCTACCCTGCTGGTTTTCTCTTTCTCAGCCGAAGAGGAAGGCTGCCCCCCCCACTCGCCCTCCTGCCCTCTGAGTGCCCCCACACTCTCCTCCCTTCACCCTATTCATAGCTGTGGTGTGGGTGGGCAGCCCAGGCGGGGCCTGGAACAGGTGTGGGGGATCGGGTGACAGATAGATGAGCCGAGACAGCCGCAGCCCAGGAGAGGGGGCCGGAGGGGCTCAGATTCATTGTCATGTGCTGGCATGTGCCTGGGAAAAATGTCAGGGCCCAAAGGGAGCAGCAGGCTGGGATGGGGGCCGGTCTGATGTACTCTCCTCCCTCCGAGGCCTCAGTTCACCTCTGCCCGGCATTTTTCAACTTGCAGACTGGTGTTAACAGCCCTCGGTGTCCCAGAGCCCCCTCTCCCCTGCCCTGAGGACAGAGGTGGCCCCAGCTGGTCCCACATGTTGTGGGGAAGGAAGAAGAGACTTCAGCTTCTCAGTCCCTGCTCCAGACCCTGCATGTCCCACCCAACAGAGCATAGTCTCACAACTCAACCCCTCCTGCACCCCACGCCAGCTCCAGCTGGAAATGATTTGTCCCCCCAGGCAGCAGCCTAGGAAATACCACCACGGCCCCATCAAAGAACAGTAACTTCCAATGGAGATGGGCTAGGAGGCTGGGTTAGGGACATCAAAGTCCTCCTCCCACTCCAAGAAGGCCCTGGTCAACTCCTCAGCGTCTAGAAGGGAAGGCTTCAGAGGAGGCGGCTTTGTTTCCTTTCTAATGGAGTGCCGCCCCGCCTCCCAGGGGAGGGAGTGGCCAGGCCAGGGGCAGGAGCAGAGGGTTCCAGATGGTTGTGAGGACCCCAGAGCTGACCAAAAGGCTCATGCTTAGCAAACAGGAGCATTTCCTTTTCCGCCATTGCAGAATTTGTACGTCCCTGGTGCCTCTGCCCACCCCATACAGGAGGGACCAGATGACTGCCCTGGAGCCCTGGCCGCTGGCAGACCCCCATCTCTGATTTCACCTGTCCTTTCCCTGACCAAGTGTCTGCTCTTCAGAGAGGCCTGGCTCTAGGGATTCAAGCAAAGGGCAGGGCACCTTGGGGCCCTCAGACACACAGCCTCCTGCAGACCATCAAGAACAAAACTGCTGATGGTTCAGATGGAGAAATGGGCCAAGAGAAGTGGAGATACACTCGGGCCACCACTCTCGAGCTGCAGAGCAGAGACAAGAGCCTCTATATCCCAGCCGGAGCCCACTGCTGCCCCCCTGCTCCCCCAGGACACACCAGAAGGGCCCCACTTATAGCCCACCACACTCCCCTATATCTGTACACTAGTTATTGCCCAGGAACATGAGATCTGCTCCAGATCCTCCCACTTGGAATGTGAGCTCCTGGAAGACAAGGGCCATGTTGGGTCCACACAGCAGGGGCCATGGGCACAGCCCACTGGCAGAGCACAGGGACCACACAGAGAACTGGCCTGACCAATTTCCTCAGCACCAACTGTCCCCTCCCTTCTTTCTCCCATCCATCCCTATCACCAATGATAAATGAAAGCATCAGAAGGAAGGAAGGGATGTGGGCCACAAGCAAGGCTGGAGAGAACATTCTAAT